TGTGTCATATCGACCCACTTGCACACAGCCAAAAGGCAAAGACGCAAAGAACAGAGGAAGGGAACAGCCATGTATATATACATATAAGCTACGACATACTGCACTGTGATGAACGTCCTGCCGTGTTTTTGACATGTGGACAACACGTCCTCTGTCAGGACTGTTTTGATGCTGTCTCTTATACACATCTAGATGTGTATAAGAGACAGACCTCCTTCCGCTCCCCCTTTTTTCCTTTTCCTTTTTTCTTTCCCCTTTTTTTGCGCTCTGATTCACAATGTGACAATATATATTGTCACACTGTAAATCAGCGCGAAGGTGAAAAAAAAAGCAAAACAAGGAAAGGAAAAGAAGGAAGGAAGGAAAGCCCCACTTGTTCATCACCTCTTACGTACAAGGCCAGCCACGTGGATGACAGGTTGAGCGCTGGCTGCCCCCATCCCCGTGTGTCACAAGGACCAACTTGCACGCAGCCAAAAGGCAAAAAAGAGGTAAGGAAAAGGAGGAGGAAACCAAACCTGACAGGGAAACGAAGAAAATGACACATCCCACAGATAATCCGATTGTCACAAAGCAAATAACACATCCCACAGATCAACATATTTTTTCTTTTTCCTCATTTTCTTATTTTCTTTTCTTTTTTTTTCTTTTTCTATCTTGTTTTCTTTTTTTCTTTTTTCTTTTTTCTTTAACTGTTCCCACCTCGGCAGATAGGACAGCTACGGTGAGGATGATGTGGATGTTCACAAGGATACCCAAGGAGAGTTGCGCCAGCACAGCATTCAGCAGGACGGCTAGCACAAACCATCCCATCAAAACAGTCCTGACAGAGGACATGTTGTCCATATGTCAAAAGAACAGCAGGACGTTCATCACAGTGCGGCATCATGCAGTTCTGATAGCGTCCTTGGGCACAAAAGGGACAACGTATATCTGGGTGATAGGGATGTGTACAGTGAGGAAATGTTGGACGCCCTTCAGTACAGACGGCGGCAGTCGCAATAGATTGATAATGGCTATGGCATAGATGATGCATTCCACAGCCAAGGGGCACCACGTCTCTGTCCCGACAGGTGTCACACGAGAGTCGGTCAATAATCCAAAATAAAGTATGATTCGACAATGCACATATCGTCACATGAATATCAGAGCGCAAAGGCGAAAAAACAGAAGAAAACAAGAAAAAAATAATTCGTTTGTTTATCTTCTTTCTTACAGCTCCCCGTACAAGGCCGCCCACGTGGATGTAGGTTGAGCGGCGGCTGGCCCCACCCCCGTGTGTCATATCGACCCACTTGCACACAGCCAAAGGACAAAGAGGCAAAGAAAAGAGGAAGGGAACAGCCAAATACAACGAAGTACCAAAACAGGGGGCAACAAGCAATAGTGCCAAAACGGGATCCTAGATGACAAGTCCCACATGCAAGCACCGCCCCTCCCTCCTGCGCAGGCCAAACGACAGGACAAGACCACCCAGGACAAAATATATTGTCACACTGTGTACATACAAGATATACGTATATTGTCCTGGGTGGTCTTGTCCTGGGTGATCGAACCGCAAGTCGATGGACACAAAAGAACGGCGGTAGAGGAGGTAGGTAAGGAAACGCACATGGAAAGGAGGATAAAGATTGGGATGAAATCCCAAGTCGATGGACACAAAAAAATGGCGCTTTTTTTTGTGTGGCTTCTTCACGATGCGGCGGAGGATGTTATGCACGATCGGAAGAAGAGGAGGAGGTTTTTCATCTTGATGAAGAACCCCCTCCTCTCCCCATTGTTTTTCATGTGTGGGAAGACAAGGGGGGAGGAGGAGGAGGTTCTTCATGTGCGCGGGAAGACAAGGGAGGAGGAGGAGGAGGTTACGCACGATCAGAAGAAAGGTCCGCCACCCCAGATCAGCTTGCCAGCTCCTCATCTTTTTATCTTTTTTTTTCTTTTTTTTTCTTCTTTTCTTGGGTCATAGAAGGAATACAGCCTTGAGATATCATCTTTAAATGGACAGGCCCCTTTGGGGTTTAAATTCAGAATCATTTTACTTTGTTCATCTGATTGCAATTGTTTGGGTTCGACCTTGGGTCTGTATTTACCAAATGAGCTCTAGGCTCGTCGGTCAGCTCCTCATCTATCCCCCAAAGCCGAACATCATCTCTCTCTCTCTCTCTCTCTCTCTCTCTCTCTCTCTCTCTCTCTCTCTCTCTCTCTCTCTCTCTCTCTCTCTCTCTCCCCGCCCCCCCAGCTTTCCTTTCCATGGGCGTTTCCTACCCTATCTCCTCTACAGCGCCTACCATCTCGCTCTCTCCCGTTGTCTACCGTCTGGTTGTCCAATCAAACCCATAAACTGAGAAGAGCTCGTGCGGGCGGGAAGATAAGAAGACGAAACGAGTGTGGCTATGGTGCGGCTATGGTGGAGGACGAAGTGTACATAAGAGGAGAGAGAGCCACGTGGAGGATGTGGAGAAGGGGAATGAGGATATAATGACAGTGGAAGCGGAGGACAAACCCCAGGCAGCGGCGACTAGCCGTCTCTTCCCCCGAATAGAACGTACGGTCATAACTGCTGCGTATTTGGGGCAACTTCCTGTCTAGATACAGCGATAACGACCGTGCGTTCTATTAGGGTGATAACGGGTATGATTAGGATCCAGAAGAAGAAGAAGAAGAAGAAGAAGAAAAAGAAGAAGACGAAGAAGAAGAAGGCACGATCGGCATCAACAAATATTGACGGTCATCATTGCTGTATTTAGACTGGCAGTTGACCCAAATACAGGTATCATACATGTACTGGAATCCTAGCGATCCCGCCATCGCCAAGTTTTGACGAAGAAGAAAAAGAGGAACCCCGTTTTTTGACAAAGTAAAAAAAGGACCTCCCCCCCGACCGCCCCAAATTTTGACCACGAAAGAAAATGCACACCCCCAAGACGAAGAAAAGAATGGCCCCTACCCCCCCCCCGATCTTGACGAAGAAAACAATTTTGACGACCCCACCTCCTCTCCCCTCGAGGGAGGAGAGGACCCCTCCTCTCCCCCCCGCCCCCCCACCGATTTAGACGAAGAAAACAAGACGCCCCCACGTCTTGACGAAGAAAAATTAGGCCCTTCCCCCCCCGATTTTTACCTCCAAAAAAGGGAAGCAGAAGGAAGGAGGAAGAAGAGGGAGAGGGAGAGGGAGAGGGGTCGGAGCTGACCGTGAAATAAAGACTAGGGAAACGTTTTTTAATCTATGTTGTTTTTTTTGCTCTTTTTTTTGGCATTTTGTTTTCCTTATTTTGCTTATTTTAAGTGTTTTTTTAAGTATATTTAGCATTATATTCATTTTACTGTTTTTTCCTTCTTATTTTGTTTATTTATGTTTATATTTCTATGGGAAGGGTTTATGTTTATATTTCTATTTGTATTTATATTTCTGTTTGTATTTATATTTATATTTCTATTTGTATTTATATTTCTATTTGTATTTATATTTCTATTTGTATTTGCAATCGTATTGATTATCATAAGAAACAAACAAAGAGGATCGGCATCAGAAGAAATCGACTGTCCCAAAAAAAAAAAAAAAACAAGGAATCAGTCAAAAGATGGCGAATCAGCGATGATGAGAGATTTTTTTTTTATCTTCATGAATAGAAAAACCGTCTCGGAGTCCCTCTTCTTCCCCTCCCTCCTCCTCCTACATACCTCCTCTTTCTCCTCCTACTTCTTTCTACTCCTTCAACCTCCTCTGCATTCTGCCATCGCCATGGTTTGACGAAGAGGAAACACGACCGCCATCGCCATGGTTTCACGAAGAGGACATCGTCTTGCCCATATCCCTATATACATCTCTATACTTCGCCTTCGCCATCGCCATCGCCATCGCCATATATTTCGCGAAGAGGAGGAGGAGGAGGCGCCCACCTGTCTTTTGACTTGGCTCTGGCATGCCACACTAACCGTCGCTTCTCCTTCGCTTCTCCTTGGCTATGACGGCCGTCTTTCTTCTTCGTCAAGCCATGGCGATGGCGATGGCGGCCTCTGTCATATGTGGTGGATGGAGAAGGTAGCAGGAGCGGGCCAGACACTAGGCCATACCCACACGAGGACTATTTAAGACGTATCTGACTGTAATTACGGTCAAATTCACTTGAGAAAGCTCTGGAGTTGAGTACACCCTTAGGCGGGACAGCGTGCCCGGATATGTGACAGGACAAGATGACGTGGGATTCACAGGGAAGCACCAGGCAGAAGGGGCACACTCCCGCCAAAAACTTCCTCATGTGAATCTAGCCGCGATCATAGTCGAATACATCTAACTTCAAGGAGGAGGAGGAGGAGGAGGAGGACGAGGAGGAGGAGGAGGAGGAGGAGAAAATGGCAAGGAAATGGGATCTTGAGAGGGAATTGGACTTGAGACCTATACGGGGCCTTGAAAGAATCTGGTCCTACATGACGTTTAGGGTACACGATGATGTCATTGTAAGGCACGGGGTAGAGA